ATCCTGGTAAAACCTTTTTACATGGATGGAAACGACAGACACAGTAAGAAAAAGACAGAAATTGTACACAGCACAGAACAAAATCCTAATGATCTGCAACATGTAAGGCATGGCTGTCGACACAGAGCACAGGCCTACTGTGTACAATAGTACGTTATAGTAACAACTGGAAATTGAGGGTGATCCTGACGCTTGCCTGGGCAGCAGATTTTCATCCACGATCTTTTCTCCTACATCTTCCTTTATACTGTTGTGCTCTGTTTTTACTTTCCTTTACATTGCTATATCATCACATATCCTTATTCTTATGGGCAGGCTGTTGCCTGCATTAAATGTTTATCTTAGCAGCTCTTCCAACACCACAAATTACTGTAACTCTGCTGCGCTCAAGCTCTATAAAAATGCTTTACAGTCTTCATACTCATGACTTCTAATGTGTGTGTTTGGCAGATTTTGACAAATAAACAGGCTATTCTGAATATGATGACTCACACAATGCGATAGTGCTGCATTAATTTGGACGATTAAAGTATTGAACTGATATAAATGTCTGTTTCGCTCACACAGACATAAGCAGGCTGTAACTCTTCACACTGTAAACAATTGCACTTAGTCATTTGCCTTATTATTTATTATGAGCACATGTTTAGGGGGATTTTACATATTTTGAAAACTTCAGCAGAAATATTCGAAAGCAACTCGATCAAAAGAATATATAGAAACTTGCAGATGATGTTTGAAGCACACAATGCTGTTGGGCCAGCATTACACTGAACGAGAGAACGATGTGTCCTTTACATTATATGCAAATATAATGGCAGAATAAAGCAGAATGCAGAACCACGTGTTCTTGAAGAGTATTTCTTTGAGTACAATACAATAAAAAACACAACAGCAGTCAGCCATCATCACAACATTAATAGTCTGTAATAGCAGCTACTCAGTGTCAGTCAACATATGCAGCACACAATTATTATGGAATTAGAAGGTGAAGAATACACCTACACGGTCCACTATTGTTCTGAAAGAATATGCATTTTTACAACCCTGGTTTTATACAGCATCAAAGTAATTCTGTGACTGAGCGGGTAAAATTTCACTTTGACAGTTAAAACATTTTGGAGGTTAATAGTGTTTTGTTTCATGAATGAACTGTTGTGGAAAGTGCATGTTCAGTACTGAGAAATCTAAAAAGGGAGCCAAGAAACGTGCCAAAGCAGCTGAGAGCAAACATAGAAGAAATGGTCTAACATGAACAGAAAGCTTTTCAAATGTCACGTTCTGTACCTTTAATCTGCAACTGCTGTAACAGCGAGCTTGACCTTTTATGGGTTTCGCTGCCTTGGAAGAAAGGAAAGCCTATTTAATGAATGTTTCGTAGATATTTTAGGCTGAGTAGAAAGTGTTTACATGTAAAATGTTTAACCTTAATGAGATTATGTTTATAATTTTAAAAAAAACACTTTGCAGAAATGAAAGTTCTTAATGATAAGAAAAACAAACAGTAAGACTTTTTCTTGTCAGGAATTTTTATTGAAGCTCTCCTGTTGGCTTCATTCTTGGTATATATTTGTGGCTCATGCTTTATGCTTACAGTTTTTCTCAGTCACTTTGGTGCTTTTCTGAGATCAAAATGAAAATTCTCAAAACTATTAATGCAACCTCCGCAACATTTAGTCATTTGTGCAATTTCTCCTTCCTCTGAACAAATTGCAAATGCTCTTGGACATGTATCAGGTGCTTTCATACAATACTCTGCCATCGACAACATTATCATTTGCTTATGTCATGTCAGTCAAAATGAACTATACTTTTGGATGCTAAATAGTAGTTTCCAATAAAACTAATAGTCTTTATTTCATTGCTTGAGTCATTACATACAGAATTGATGAATTCGTTTTCAAATGCTGTCAAGCAAATGCTATACCTTTTTTTCATTATTTTGTCCTGTCCTTGAAATTGAACAATTTCTCTCATGCCATACTCCCTGAGAATGAGAGGGGTGGATGTCAACTCAACAAGTATGTTGTTGTGTGGGATAATGTCCCTTTTCACTACTCACATCTGGTCAGACAGTGGTTTGCAGCACATGACAGAATACCTGTTGAATATCTCCCTCCCTACTCCCCATTCCTTAATCCGACGGAGGAGTTTTTGTCTGCCTGGAGGTGGAAGGTTTATGACCGGCACTCACATGCACAAATGGCCATGGATGCAGCATGTGACGACATCACAGCAGAGTCATGCAGAGGGTGGATTCGCCACTCCAGGAGATACTTTCCTCGCTGCATTGCAAGGGATGATATGCGTTGTTATGTAGATGAGAATATGTGGCCAGACAGACAGGAACATCTGAATGTGCCAGAATGATTTACCTATGTTCAGTTACAATATGTACTGTTATATTGTTCACATTTGTGCACAGCTCTACCAAAAGGGTGTTTCTCACGTTTTTTCTAAATACGTGACTGTAGAGTATTTTTCTTTTGCACAATGTTGTAGAATTACAAAAATCCTACACAGTAAAAATGTGAAACATATGTATTCAGTGTCTTGTACTCACTTACTTCCATAACTACAGGAATGTCTAACTTTACTGTATATTTTACTGTACATGGCTGTGCAAAAAACGTATAGTGCTCTCTTGAGCATTTTTAGGTAGTGTCACCGAGTTCTGACCTTTTTTTGCATTGGAAGACACTGAGAGACTACTGTACACTGTCCTAATGAAAACATGACAAAGCCATTTGATTATCTTGTTCATCAAGATGGTGTCAAGACTTCTCATTTTGATGACACTGACAGTTTCATTGACATGAATACTTGCTTTTGAGGAATGGATCATCGATTTTGAGCAAGTGACCTGCTTTTGCAGGTTATCCACTAGGTTTTGCAGTTTGCACTAATTGTTTTGAGAAATACACTAACTGCTGTGCAAATGTTAATAGTGATGTGAGAAAAGCACCAAAGCGACTGAGAAAAACTGTAAAATAAAATATTTCTCACATATTTAATACAGTGGGGCAAAAAAGTATTTAGTCAGCCACCGATTGTGCAAGTTCCCCCACCTAAAATGATGACAGAGGTCAGTAATTTGCACCAGAGGTACACTTCAACTGTGAGAGACAGAATGTGAAAAAAAAATCCATGAATCCACATGGTAGGATTTGTAAAGAATTTATTCGTAAATCAGGGTGGAAAATAAGTATTTGGTCAATAACAAAAATACAACTCAATACTTTGTAACATAACCTTTGTTGGCAATAACAGAGGTCAAACGTTTACTATAGGTCTTTACCAGGTTTGCACACACAGTAGCTGGTATTTTGGCCCATTCCTCCATGCAGATCTTCTCGAGAGCAGTGATGTTTTGGGGCTGTCGCCGAGCAACACGGACTTTCAACTCCCGCCACAGATTTTCTATGGGGTTGAGGTCTGGAGACTGGCTAGGCCACTCCAGGACTTTCAAATGCTTCTTACGGAGCCACTCCTTTGTTGCCCGGGCGGTGTGTTTTGGATCATTGTCATGTTGGAAGACCCAGCCTCGTTTCATCTTCAAAGTTCTCACTGATGGAAGGAGGTTTTGGCTCAAAATCTCACGATACATGGCCCCATTCATTCTGTCCTTAACACGGATCAGTCGTCCTGTCCCCTTGGCAGAAAAACAGCCCCATAGCATGATGTTTCCACCCCCATGCTTCACAGTAGGTATGGTGTTCTTGGGATGCAACTCAGTATTCTTCTTCCTCCAAACACGACGAGTTGAGTTTATACCACAAAGTTCTACTTTGGTTTCATCTGACCACATGACATTCTCCCAATCCTCTGCTGTATCATCCATGTGCTCTCTGGCAAACTTCAGACGGGCCTGGACATGCACTGGCTTCAGCAGCGGAACACGTCTGGCACTGCGGGATTTGATTCCCTGCCGTTGTAGTGTGTTACTGATGGTGACCTTTGTTACTTTGGTCCCAGCTCTCTGCAGGTCATTCACCAGGTCCCCCCGTGTGGTTCTGGGATCTTTGCTCACCGTTCTCATGATCATTTTGACCCCACGGGATGAGATCTTGCGTGGAGCCCCAGATCGAGGGAGATTATCAGTGGTCTTGTATGTCTTCCATTTTCTGATGATTGCTCCCACAGTTGATTTTTTCACACCAAGCTGCTTGCCTATTGTAGATTCACTCTTCCCAGTCTGGTGCAGGTCTACAATACTTTTCCTGGTGTCCTTCGAAAGCTCTTTGGTCTTGGCCATGGCGGAGTTTGGAGTCTGACTGTTTGAGGCTGTGGACAGGTGTCTTTTATACAGATGATGAGTTCAAACAGGTGCCATTCATACAGGTAACGAGTGGGGGACAGAAAAGCTTCTTACAGAAGACGTTACAGGTCTGTGAGAGCCAGAGATTTTCCTTGTTTGAGGTGACCAAATACTTATTTTCCACCCTGATTTACGAATAAATTCTTTACAAATCCTACCATGTGGATTCATGGATTTTTTTTTCACATTCTGTCTCTCACAGTTGAAGTGTACCTCTGGTGCAAATTACTGACCTCTGTCATCATTTTAAGTGGGGGAACTTGCACAATCGGTGGCTGACTAAATACTTTTTTGCCCCACTGTAAGTTCCACAATGATAAATTAATCCATTCACTGCCTGTCCGTATCTCTGCCCTGCACACTTGGCCCATGTAAATCTGTTCGTTGCGTGAGGATCCTATTAAGTTCCACAGTGTTATTCCATTATTGTTATCTACTTCCGACTGTTAACAGCAAAAGCTAGGTGATGATGTGACATGTATTTTTTCCATTTGTACCGTTGCCTTGGCCTTGATAAGAGTGTAAGCATGCCAGTGTCAAAAAAGGGAAGTGGGAGGGTTCAGAGGGCAGCAGGGAACCTGATGGCAGAATTGTCATTAGGACAAGCTGGCGCTCGAGACCAGGAATCTGACACCACCTTCTCACAAATGCTACCACTTGGAGTGGCGTCTCATCCTGAGTGATGGCCTACAAGACTCCAGGCTCTGACACCTCTTTATCACTCTGGTATGGAAGCAGGCAGAGTGAGGCCCGCCAGGCATGTGGCGCTAGAGGGACGGGGATTACGGCTGACTGATGGGGAGTGCGGTGATTACCTGACAATGAAATATGTTGCACAAGCTCAAAAACATATTTGTTTTCAGATATTTTATTTATTTTTTCCCAACCGTATTAGCATTTATGTCGAAAGCCAAAAAGCAAGATATGAATGGTTGGTATAAAGCATGATTTCACAGCAGTCGACTGCAAGATTAAGCAAGAGAAATAACATTTTTCAGACAAGAAGCCCCGAAGAGCTCCAACATACCGTAAAATCCTCTCCTGGTCAAAAGCCATCGAAAATACATTTTCTGCAAGTATGGCAAGCAAATAGGAGAAAGAATGTCAGTCTTTAAATCATCTGGCTGGCTCCAACATGCCACAGGGCAAAGAAGTAAATTATGTCATTTAGAAATTTGTGGCTGAATATCTCAATATAAAGCATTTCAGCAGGATTGTTATTCAAATAACACATAAGGCTTTTCATAATTTAAAAAAACACGCATTACAGTTTATGTAGTGCATAAAATATGTATAAATTATTGAAATAAATATAGATATTGAAGAAAATGTGGAGACTTACAAAGGAAGTTTTTTGTTTAATTTCTCTCAGAATCCCAAAATATTCAGAAGGTTATTGCTGTTGTCTGCATTATTTAGCTTTTTGGCTCACTCCTCATGATGTGGCATGAGACGGGAACAACATTTATACTTTGATTTTCAGATATTTGCTGTCAGACAATCATTTCCTCTCTCTTGTTTTGACTAATAGATGATTGTGGTTAATGATTTGCAGCATTATATCGAAAGGCTTATAGTCTACATTAATATAAGGATTATAGATTTATCTTTATACAATTGCAAATTTACATCATGTGTTCATTTCTAATTTACAACTAAGTCCTGACCTGTGCTTTTTACACACCAATGCATAAGATCTTAGATAGATAGATAGATAGATAGATAGATAGATAGATAGATAGATAGATAGATAGATAGATAGATAGATAGATAGATAGATAGATAGATAGACTCTGGAGGAACTGGTGACAAAGCATATCCATGCAAAAGATAATAGCTGGGTGTCATTTGAACTGACGCATGTGGTTACACTCTGGCGGAAGTCAGGGTGTGCAACTCACAGACTCGAGGTTCATCTTGCATGTATGGGGTCAGAGGATGAAGGGGCCACACAAGAGGCCACAGAGGAGGCAGAAACCTTGGTGGACATTGACAGGAGCTTGGACGGGAAACAAAATACAATAATGATTGTGTTCTCAGATGATCAGAGCAGAGACCGCAAACAGGACAAACAAGAGCTCATCCAAATGATTAACCACGAGAATGACCTTCCTGAGAACATGGGCAGGGGCCAAGAACCCTTCTGGGAGCATGTTAATCACAAGAACAGCCATGCTAAACAGGACGAGCTAAACCAGCAGTCTCTCATGCGACCGCAGTCCAACCTTATCTATGACGCACCTCCTCGAATCCGTCGCAATGTTAAGAGCGAGTCATGCAAAAGAACACCTCTCTTTGTGGATTTTAAAGACATTGGCTGGGATTCATGGATCATCCAACCTCTGGGCTACGAAGCGTACAAGTGCAATGGCGTATGCAACCCGCCTATGACTTCTGAGGTCTCCCCCACCAAACATGCCATAGTGCAGACGCTGCTGAGTATAAAGAATCCAGATAGAGCACCGCGTGCCTGCTGTGTACCCACAAAGTTAGAGCCAATCTCACTACTTTATCACGATAATGGTGCGATTACTTTCAACCACAAGTATGAAGGAATGGTGGTGGCAGAGTGTGGCTGCAGATAGTCCTCAGAGTATTACTTATTACTAAGACTGTGTTGTGATGGATCTAAAAGTCATCATCTTAGAAACATCTCTCTATCTATCTATCTATCTATCTATCTATCTATCTATCTATCTATCTCTATCTATCTATCTATCTATCTATCTATCTATCTATCTATCTATCTATCTATCTATCTATCTGTTCTATCTATCTATCTATCTATCTATCTATCTATCATCTATCTATCTTCTATCTATCTATCTATCTATCT